TTTTTTCTTTTTGCTTGGCTGCACACTTGAGAACATATCCACCTCGTCATTTTCGTTGTCTTCCTCTTCGTACTCTTCTACTAGGTCTGGTTTACTAGTAACGAATCTTTCACTGGTGGTCTCGTCGTCCCTATTTTTATTGGTAAGTGGTCCTTCCTCGATGTTCTACATGGGGAGGAGGATTGGAAAGAAGGGACGCACACATGTATGCGTGTGTCAGTGCACTCATAGGTATGGGCTTTGTCATATAATACACGCCTCCTCACATATGCGCAGCGAATGTCTCACCATTTTGGTCCGCTCATGTAGCTCCTTCTGTTTAATTATAAAGGCCCTAATTTTGGCCTTCTCTTCCATAATTTTCTTTTTTAAGTCACTATATAAATCACTGGACTCCTTAACAGACTCGCTTTTCTCTTTGGTCGGTTTGTCCTCAATCACTTCGTGGTCCGACGATAGGGACGAACAGGTTTCCTCCATGACTTCTTTGTTTGGCTCGAATATACAGGCCGCATCACTGTGAAAAAGGAGGAATGAGAAAAAAAAAAATAATAAATAAAGGTTCCACGAAAGTACACATAAATGGGGTAGTGAGGTGCACACAAGTGGCACCGATTTGCTACACATGTAGGAAAACAACCGGTATGGACACTATAAAAAAAGACGAGTCTAAATGTATGTGGTATGTTTTGCCCATGTTTTTTCCCCCTCTTTTCTCTGTTCCTTCTTCGGGGGAAGAACCAACATAACTGCGCATCTGTGCGCACAGGAGAGCACTTACTCATGGTCCACATCGTCCAGCATGGGGGGAAACTCGTTTAGACTTTCTGCTAAGTCATTCTTGTTGGAACTCGAGCAGGCGTCTTCACCTTCCTCCTTTTTTACATTATCACTTGTATCTTCCTTACCGCTTTGTAGGGCATCGTTACCGTTGCCCAGGATACTCAGGTCCTTCAAGTCGCCGCTTACCACGTCGTTCCCATGTTCGTTCTCACTCACCAAATCTTTAAGTCTCTCTTTTAGTGCCTCTCTTTTTCGCCTCCTTTCTTCCAGAAATTTATCTTCATTTTCTTCCTCCTTCAAAATTTTAAATTCATCCTCGCTGTTCGACGCTGCAGAGGGTGCAGGAAGAAGATAGGACACACATATGTGATAAAAAAAAAGAAAACAGACTAGCGCGCGAACAAATATATTGAGGCATAGTAGAGCACATATAGGACGACAAATGAAGAAGAGTGCGTGGTACGACCAAATGAAGTTAAAGTATTACTTGATCCACCCAAGAAGTCCATGCCGAGGTTGTTCGAATCAGAATTGCTACTAACAGAATGATGGGAACTAAATGAATTTAAATTTTCTTTTGAATTTTTCATTTGGTCTTTTTTAAAATTTAGTTTATTTTTATCATTTTCGTAATATTTTTTTTTATATGAACCATTGTCGGGACCCTTCTCTGCAAAATTTATCTTATGGTGTTTTTTGATTCGCTTGGAATATTTATCCTCATCAGATTCGTAGGAATTGGAGATCATTCGGCCCCTTTTGTCCTTCGCCATGCTTGAGTTTATGCGACAAACAAATATGTGTGTACTTGTTCGTTCTGCGCGAATTGACCGTTGTGTTTTCTGTGTGCAGCCCGTGCTCTTATAGGAGTCATAAAATGAGGCATCTGTTTATTGGTTTAATATGGTACACGTGTAGGTATATGTATAAATATAAATATATGTTTTTTTTTTTTTTTTTTTTTTTTTCCAAAATTGTGCAGAAGTAGAAGATTATATGTGCATATGCGTGAAGCAAACGTGAAGATATACGTCGCCGCGCAGCATAGAGTGGCTGGGTGTTACTTTATGTCGCTATGATTGTGAGTTTGTCTAAGCCTTGTTAAGATTATCTGTGCTTCCACACACGTTTCTTGCCTCCTCTGTGGCAAGTATGTTCGAGCCTCGATGCGTCTGTGTATATCTGCTGGTTTCTCCGCTCACAACTGCAACTGATTGCAGTCTGTGCATGCCCAATTGAACCTGACTGAGGGGAATAGGCGCGAAAAGAAATAAAACAACGAGTGGAAAGAATAAAAGGAGCAAGCGACAAAAACAAAAACAAAAACGAAAAACAATTCGTATGACATACCTGATGGGTCACACAGAATGGACAGCTCTTTCTACCTTGATCAGCTTATTCGTTTCATATGCTTATGTAAGAGAAAGAATCTTGACGCAAAACAAATGGGAAAGGAATTGTTTTTTTTGTTGATATTTTTATTTCTTCAGTGTGTGGTCATATGCAGTTATACACGAGTGTGCAAAACGCAAATGTATGCTTGCACATGCATATGCTCATGCGCGTGATGGGGTCACGGGAGCGCGAAATTAAAGTTACTTGAGGCCACTCAATACATTTCGTCCTGCTAGCTAATCATTCTACTGGCTCGTGACTGTGTGACGAATAATGACAAACGACGAACACCTCACTTTTAAAAGAAAAAAAAAAATAAATAAAAGGGGGGCAATTTGAGATGGAGGCAATATGGAGAAGCAACGTCACGGCGTCAAGCGCACGTGCTAAGAAGGCGTGCAAAACGGAATGCGCGATAAAACGTGTAGTGCCAGCGGTGTGTAGGCTTCAGACGACGACGCTGTGCTTGCGGAAGGAGTGGATTACACACAAGCACGTGCAGTCGTAGAAGGGCACGTACACACATATAAGGAAGCGCAACGTCTCGAGATACGTATACGCGCGCAAGGCATGTGACGGACACGCCTTGTGCTCGAAACGCAAGAGATGAAAATTGGACGGCACACCCACACGTTTTATTCGTTACTTCATAAATGCTTATTCTAAAATGTAACTTTTTTTTTTTTTTTTTAAGATACGGTCTCACTTTTGTTTAAACTGCGAGTTCACACAGAGCAATCGTTTCAACTCCAATTGTTCCTGCTCGAAGGTACAGTTCTGGTGTGGAGTGGACTGATCGGACGGGTAATCAATCTTCCGGTGTCGTGTGCATAGAGCCGTGCGCCTGTACCTGTTATGTATGCGCGTTGGTACTTGTAAGCATTTGAATAGGCCTTCGTTGGTATGCACACAATATGAGCGTACACACACGGCAGCGTGAAAAGGGGCAAACAAATGAAGCAAAAAAATGAAATAAAAATGTATCTTTTTTTTTTTTTTTTTGTCATATAATTATCGTTCGAATGGTTAAATCATATATTCTCCAAACCGGTGGGGATAGGGGGCGCGTGATTCATTTTTTGCTTCTTCCGAGTTAATGTCTTTTAATGTATCTCTTGTGCTTGCCTAGTGTGCAATTTGATTTTTCACTTCCAAGTTTGTTTCCTTTTTTTTTTTTTTTTTCACTTGAATTTTTTTTCCCCCCAGATTATACGCATCCAATATTGGCATATATTTTGTCTCCTTCGGAATGGGCAATTTATATAATTCCTTTCGTCATCAAATTGAGAGGTTTTTTTTTTTTTTTTTAAACATTTAGTAACGGGGGGTACAAGGAAGTTCGCTTGCCAATGCGCATACGCAATCAGTACTCCTTTAAAGTGGAAAGTGTACTTACATACAAATGGAATGCGTTAAGCATATGGTACTACACTGAGCAACTCCACCTTTAGCATGTTGTTCGCACAAGCGGCATTCGCCTTTTATGTTCCTTCTGAGGAATGCCACAAATAAGTTCCATTTAAATCACGCGCGAAATGGCAGAACAGCATCGAGGGCACATACTTGATAGGCGTGCTGAGTTGTGCCAACTGAAACCCCTGGGTCAAGTGAAAACTTGTTTAGGAGGAGAGCAAGCATGAAAATTGTGTACACTTGCATGGGGTTTCGTAGGTATGATTATGTTAAGTCAGCATATATATGTAAGCACATGAACGGACCTTTGTATGTGCATAAACTGTTGCATTTTATTATGTGCTCGCCCATGCCAGCCGGTAACATATTCGTTCCTTTGCCCATGTAGCAAACCAACGAACGCGGTGAAGCATTTCTCATGAAGTGTCAATTAAAAAAGGCTAGCAGCAAATGCACAGTGCATACGTGTACATTATATACATATGCAGTATACGACGCGGATGTTGTTGCCTCATAATGGCCCACTTTAGGGCGGCACTTTCCGTCAAAAAAGGGCGGGCTAGCCAATACAGGAAAAAAAAAAAAAAAAAAAAAAAAAAAAATTTATACATATGTACCGTGCATGCGTTTACATATGCATTTTTGCGCAAAAAGTAAAGCAAATTAACTTGCAAGAAATGTGGCCATCCTTTGGTTCCCTTCTAGTTGTGAAAGAACTAGTTTTTGTTGTCCTTTTTAATCGAAGCCATGGAAAAGAGGCATCAATGGGTGCAAGCAACCCCCAGGAAAGAACAAATATAGGTTAAAAAAGCAACATGTAGTAGCTCCGGAGCTGATTAAATGCAGTGTATTACGTGGGGCTATTTTATTTTATTTATTTTTTTTTGCAACGGATTTTCCCAATTCGCTTAATGTAGTGCGTGATGATTCGCAAGTAGAGGAAAGCACGTCACGTGTAGTACACCAATATATAATACATCTTTGTTACCGCCGCAATTCCATGAGATAGTTGCAGGCACAGCAAAAAGATGTTCCAAGTGGTGGCTGCATCCGTCCAGGCTTTCCACCCCCCCAAAAACAAGGCGTTATAAAAATACACAAATTTTGAACAACATCCAAAAATTGCCCACGACAGTGTGGGTACGGTTGCGACTACTATCGTGCAGTTCAAACGGGACAGGAATTTAAAAAAAAAAAAAAAAAATTACATAAGCGAGAAAGTAAGGCAAGAAATGGCACATAAGTCGCGCCTATACAGTTTTAAAAATGAAAAAAAAAAAAAAAAAAATGGCACTGTAGTATTTGTAGCATTTTCCCCGTGTGTGCAACCAGTTGGGGTCATTTATTGCTGCATTGATAGATCGCCCCTTACTTCGTCTCCGTTCGGTTTCTGCGCAAGTTTACACAGCCTACCCCTTATCCGCATTGTGACTGCTCCTATCCCATTCGACTGATTGTCCGTCCTTCTGACTGAGCAGCCTGGCGGCCCGCATTTGCTTCATCTTGATAACAATGTCGAGCTCTTGGTTAGCCAAATAAATTAGCTTTTCTTGTATGTTATTTTCTTCCTCTGTAATTTTTTCGAGTTCCCTGTCTATTTCGTACAGCTCAAATTGGTCATATTTGATAACAGGCGAGGTGGCTTCGTCATTCGGATAGCACATAGAAGCGTCTTCTTCTTCTCCTTGTTCTTCCACCTCTTCACCCACCAGTGAGAAATGGGCACTTGGGTTTGCTGCTGCATGAGGGGTATCGCCTACCCAGGGATGATATTCCACTTTATTGTGTTGAGCAGAATGCCCTTGTCGTTCCTGCAAAGGATACATCCTTTCATGGTATGGAGGAAGATAATCCAAGTGAGTTTCCTCATTCACGTTATCAAAATGGGTGTCTTTGCCGATTTTACCGACTGTTTTCATCTTCGCATCATACAGGTCCCTTTCGTGTGTTGCTTCATTTGAGGCCCCCCCACTAGGATAACCACGCACCGTATCATTAATGGCTTCCGTCTTATTTACGCAGGTGCTATGCATGAGTTCGTTGAAGAACCCATGATCTACACATTCTCTCTTTCCATGGGGGGATCCTCGTATGTTGTTTTTCTGTTTGCATTTGTGCACAATTTTCTGATGCTTAGGTGTAGCCGTGGAATGGCCGCTCTGCACAACTCTAAATTGGGAAGAGGTAAAAGCGATCTTGATAAGGTTACCCGTCTTGTTATTATTACTATTATTATCCTTTTTTATTATTTGCGTTAGCGGGGCATCACCACATGAGTTTGCTTTTTTTTTTGTTGCCACTTTGCTAATAGGACCCTTGGCATTGCGCGCATAGGTGGTGCAGTTGTTATCCCCCTTTTCCGGTTTGCTCGAATCTAAAAATATTTTCGACTTAATTGACCTGTTGACGACAACAATTTGTTTATCCGAGTCATCACTATTCTCGTCATCGTCTCCGTCCTTCGCGGAAGTTACCTTGTCCCGTTCACTTGAAATTCCATTTTTGACACACTTTGGTTTATTCATCTTTAGTGGCATTAGAAGACTACTCACATGTGCAGACCACGTGGGCTCGACAGGGATCAGGTAGGAGAGCGATTGCTTTCTTAGGTGCATCTCTGCACACAGGCGTGTACCTATATAGGGAGTGTGTATATATGCTCAGACAAGCGGACAATTATCTCCCACGCAGTGGTTATACTTTGCAGGGCGCAACATCGGGACAAGGAAGGTATACTCGTTTGTTATGTGAATCATTAGGAAAGATGAGGAAGGTACATTAAAATGTATTAAATTTTTGATGCGCTTTTCCGTGACAAGGGCACTTTATAGACCGAATGGATGCTCTGCCTTTACGGGGTGGTGTAAATATTTTCTTCATCCGATTAGCCCCTTCTCGCATTTCCATCTGAACAAAGTGCCTTTTTTTTTTTTTGTTTGTTGGACAGCTTGATTCGTATTGACGGCTAAATTGGAAATGATGCAATTAACTGACCGTGATAAAATGGGCATCCTTTGGAGGGTACTTTTTACCCTCTTCCTAGGTAAGTGTTCGAGCAGGGTGCATTAAGTTGGGGGCGAATATCCGCATAGGAAGCCCCCATCGTATGGCAGTACTGTTACGAGTGTAGGGTGCAAAGGCTCTGCTGGGTGATGCTAGGAACGCTCCAAAGGAATTCGCCCTTAACACGCAATTCTGCGCGCGCCCGCATGAGCACAGGGTTCCTGTCTAAATACGCTTAGCGCAGCGCACGTCACGAAAAAAAAAAAAAAAAAAAAAAGAAGCAAATTGGGAATATAACAAATTGGCAAATGAAAAAGTGCACAATTGATGCCGCAAAAATGCTGCAAGTGTGCAAATAAGAGAACAATCGGGCACTAAAAAAAAAAAAAAAAAAAAAAAAAAAGGGAAAGTCCAACTATGCGGCCACTACGGCGGGCCCCTTTGAAAAGTACGCTTTGCTCGAAACACAAAAAAAAAAAAAAAAAAAAAAAAGGCCATAAATGCTCCATGCGGAGGAAAAAAACTCCCCGCAATCGTATTCACCACCAGGAGTGTACTGACGAATGAAGCATTTCAGTGGAGTAGCAAAACCAACCCCATTGTTGATCCTTCCATTGACCCTTTCGAACGACTCTAGACAAACGTTCCTCAATATGTCACAGAGTACAAGTGCACAATCTCCTTCGTAAGTAAAATAACATCCTTCATATCCGATTTTGGGTTCGCTTTGTTCAGGAGGAGAAATATATTCACAATTTTTTCCACTTGAGAAAGATACTTCTTTTTTATTTGTTCCAAATGAGGGGAACTCAACTGATCGTGTCGATTTATATGGTAAAGAAAATGATTAACAAATAACATGCACGAAATGATAATGGCAGTGTCGTCAAATCTACTTCCTATGTCTGGAATGCAAAGGACATCATTAAAAACTGAAATGAGCAATTTATTCACAATGTAGGGTGACCTAGTAATAAACATCAATTCGTAGAGTAGGGCATATTTTGAAATGCTGCTCGTGAGTTTAAAGGATAAGGCCCGTAGACTCACTTTTTCCATCTTCAGACTTTGTTCCTTCTCATAATAGATGTTTTCCTTGCTAGTGGGTTCAAATTGGTTTATACTATCGGATAGTTGTTCTGCATCTTTTTTAGATGTACCATATTTAACTGTGTAGAACCCGTTGTTTAACAAAAAGAGGTTAAAATCAATTGCATTCAACACATTTCTTAGGGACACATTTTTGCCCCATATCTTCCCATGCATGTATATGCACCCTGCTATGGCATATTTAATGTTACTCAGTTTATCGGTGTAAGGAAGTTTTGTCTTCTTCTTGATTGGGCTTAGAAATATTTTCGAAAATTTTAATTTGATCTGTTCGGCCAGGGGCAGTGCTTCATCTGCTGCTGTCGTCTCCCCACTTTTGGTGTACTTTGGCCTGTGTGCTTGCTTCTCCAGCTTTGGTTCCTTTAACAAGGCCTTTCGGACCTTCCCCTCAGGTGAATGTCCCACCAGGGTGACGTAATCGCTGCCCTCCTCGAGAGGTACATGCGCCTCCAGTATCGATTCATACCTCCCCCTGAGTACACAGTACACACTTTTGTAGATGTCATTTATGCTGACCGACTCGAGGAGGTGGTTGTCCACGAGGATCATTTCTGCGATGAGCCCGAACACAACTAGGGCGTTGTGCACATTTCTTTGTAGCTCGGTGGAGGGCTTCGAGTCGTTATCTTCGAAGTCGTTCATTTTGCTCTGTCATGGTGTTCGCTCTGCACATCACTGCCCCGGTGTTTCTAAGTGTGTATTCCAGATGCGGGGTTTCTGATTGCGTTCTCTGAATTTTTTTTTTTTTTTTTCCATGATGCGTTTTTCTATGGTACCTGCGCTTACACCTACCAATACACTGTTCAAACGCGCGCAGTTTGGAGGACCACACTCGGAGAATCACGAAAAAAATGTTACTCTCTGCAGGTTCAACATGCTCCTTCAAATAGGGTAGTGAAGAAGAAACAAAAAAGAAAAAAAAAAAAAAAAAAAAAACGAAATGGTGATGTGCCACGTGCTCAGTTTGACATGTTTGGTGTGACGCGAACCGATTTGTAGCAACACGTCATTAACACATTCTGCGCTGAGTGGCTAATCGGTTCGCCAAAAAAAAAAAAAAAAAAAAACTGTCACACAGTTGGAAGAGGGTGTGAGAGAAGAACCCGATCGGGGCTACGCTGAACAGGAGCACGTGTGAATAACTTTACGACAGGGTGACAGAATATACTGACGACAAGGAAAAAAAAAAAAAAAAAAAAAAGCATGTGTATGATGCGTGAGCAAGATGATTAACAAGAAGAGGTGGTAAAGGTGTGAGCAGGCGTAGGGGAGCATCTCCATAAGTGTTTCTGCGCAGGGATTGCCGCGCCTCGGGCGTGATTATCCTGCGGGGTGTACCCTATGAGAAGTGTCCTATGCCAGTTACCGCATGTGAACTTCTTCACGTAGACCATGCTAGCCCCCTACCGCAGTAGAATGTTGCAGCGGTGGGCGCTGCGGACCGGCAAGCGTGTGTTCCACGCCAAGTGCTGGGTGGATGGAAAGAAGCACTTGTACTGCGTAGTTAGAAGACATTTTGGTAACAGTTCCATGGGTGGAGAAGCGAACAAGCAGTCAACCGAAGGAGCCAAGTCAGCATGCCGCATCGGCAGTAGTCTCTCCCCCACGGAAGAAATCACCCAGCATATGGAACACGAATACGGGATTAGCCCCAGTTCTATTGATGTGAGTATCCAACGAAATGGAGAAAACGATTTGTTCAAATTAAGCAAAAGGTGGAGTACCTTTTTCAAGTGTGAAAAGGATTTATACGACGTGATAAATAAATACATAAAGACAAATAAAATGGACTACCATTTGCATGCCTACTTAAAGGGCATTCTGAGTGAAGAGGGAAAGGGAGGGGCAAATGTGAAGGTCAGGCCACTTCAAATGGAAGAACAATTGAAGAACATCTTAACCTACATGATGTCCCTTTTTTATAAACAAATTCAAGACTTCAACATTGTGTCTCACTTAAGTGAGCGTATTATAAATTTACTAAATGGGGGGAACTCCCAAAGTGATGCAAATGGAGATGGCCGACCTACGAATGAGACAAATATTGGCCTGGACAAGGCCACCATTTTAACCACGCTTCAAGTGTACAATTATGTGAACGCCATGAATGATGAATTATTCGATCGGCTGTTTTGTGTACTAAACAAATGTTACGTGCAGGCAGCGCCTCCGGGAAGTCCCCTCATAATCAGCGATGACGAAATTGTACTCATGTTGAAAAGTCTGTATATTCAAAAATTTAAAAATCATATACTATTGGATACTATCGTAAGGTCACTTAGGGATGCCCCTCATTTGAGTCCATACCTTTCGGTGCATTCGTTCCTTTACCTTACGTTGCTGTCCAGGATGGATAATGATTCCCTTTGCAAAGTGAACTCTTCAATATTTTATGGCTCTCAGATGGGGCAACTGGGCCAGCGAGACTTCAGTGCAGATATGTTCACCACAAATGAGAAAGCGATGTGGGAAAATGAAATTGAGCAAATAATATTCAAAGCTCCCCTATCAGCAACAGATTGTATAAAGCTGCTCTACGGATATTTGGTCCTGGGGGAAAATCACATTAACTGGTTTGTGATGCACAAACTCCTTCTGCAATTGCACGAGGAATTGAAAGATGAGGAGAAAATACTCTTGTTAGAGAAAGAAAACAAAAAGGTACTCCAAATGATAACCATCGTGAGAACCTATTTAAGGTACAAAAAAAGAAGGCTGTATGATAATTTGCCCAAGGGTGTGAAGAGGGTATTAAAGAAATTGCAGAGTCTGTATGCAGATGAAGAATATTCAAAAAGGAAGGACAGGAAATTTGTTCAGAAGGTTTCATGGCATTTAATAAAACTGCGCATACCACATGTTAAGAATGGAAATAAAGGTGGGATCCCATTAGACATATTGGAGAAAAATAAAAAGCTGGTATGGATGTGCTTCTCATATCACCAGTACTACATTAGAACGATTGACCTAACGGCGGAGACCTTATTGCAAATGGATTTACTAAAAGCCATGAATTATAAAATTGCTAAAGTGCACTACTATCAATTTTCCCGCATGAAGGCAAGGCGAACTCGTTTCGAGTACATACGGATGTGCCGCTATTATACGCTGCGTGATCGACGCAACTATGACGATGAGTTCGAGGGGTGGAATTTGCCTTACATCAACTGGTACCACAGGAAGAACAAAAACGTCCACGTGTCTAACTACTTCTACGGCTACACCCCCGTCTCGCACATGCAATATTAGCAACAGGCCAGGGGAGGGACCGACATATATGCAAGCATATAAATGTGCGCATGTGAAAGCGAGCAGGTGTATCTGTCTACATGCCTGTAACAAAGGCCGTTCCCCCACTCGGCCCGTAACTCTGATAAATATGGACACGTTGAGGCAAATCACCTCCGCTCAGATATTACTCCCACGTTAATAGGGGAAGGGTCGCGGGATTAACAAAAAAAAAAAA